AATATTCGTTTTAAATAGCAAAAGATAGAGCACAAAATTCTCTTTTGATAATCTCAGTACAGAGTACTAAAAAAACCGACCTGAAAAGTACGTGGAATTACCTCTATTTGCCAAGCTTTATTGAAATATCCCCTATAATAGTTCGCCACTATACGGGACTTAACACAGGAGATAATAAAAATCGGTTCTACTCATTGACTTACAATTATATGGACGTCGCGTCCACGCTAAAAAGTGTCCGCACTTGTAAGGCACTAAAATCGTATACAGAGCGCCAAACTCCGCTTTAGTCTTCATTTGTTCTACTGACAGCGCGATACTGCGATGACATTACAATTTAAATTTCGAATAGGTTGACTTGGGACATTTTTTTCGTGGTTTTTGTATTAGACCCGTCGTCCATTTATTTGTAAGTCAATGGTTCTACTACTCAAAAGTACATTGAGAGAGAAAAACGCCTTGAATTAAGGAATAGCAAAATCAACCATTAAAATGATTGCTCCTTATACTAAAATTTAGGCGCTATTTATAAAAGTGAATCTTCATGCGTGAACACCTTAGAGGTGGATAATTTTGTTCAAAATGAAATGGAAGTACCCTCAACTTTCTAACAAAAAAGAATCATGAAAATCGGGTCACAAATACCGGACTTATCGCGTAACATACATACAAAAAAAAACATACAGTCGAATTGAAATCAGTTAAAATTAGTTAACATGTTCGACTTGTCGGAACTTGCCCTAACTATCCATAGCTGAAATATCGTCAAACAACTTCAATATTCAAAAACTGGACTATGATTTTTTTATGTTATCTCAAAAAATTATTTTGTCACTTAGCATTTTAGTCAGCGGATGGGAGATTTGTGGTTGTTTATGTGTGTGTCCATGGCACACATGATACAGGTTTTGTTTATTTAATATATGTGTGTTATTTATTTATTTAATCATCATCATCATCTTATCAGTCGGAAGACGTCCACTACTGAACATAGGCCGCCCTCAAAGATTTCCAAACCAGCCGATCGGACGCGACGTGCATCCATCGGTTACCCGACGCCATTACCAGGTCATCCGTCCATCTGGTAGAAGGCCGTCTCACTGAACGCCTTCCGGTTCGTGGTTTCCATTCGAGAAAATTTCTGCCCCACCGGCGGTGAGTTCTACGAGCTATGTGCCCTGTCCACTGCCACTAACCCTTTCAGCTACGTCGGTGACTTTCGTTCTTCTACGGATCGCCTCATTTCTGATTCGATCACGTAGAGAAATGCCGACCATCGGCAATCAGTAATCGTTTATTGCATAGTCACATGTTAATAATATTAAAATTACAGTACATGTGACACCCTGTAAGGGTGTTTGCAAAGAGAGTGGCGCTATACACATTTTAAAAATAAGATAAAAATTATTACACAGTACTATTTCCTAATTGATACCACGCATACAAAATGGTGTCTAGTAGGACTATATAATTTACACATTATGTTTCAACTATACTAATTGATATAATTTTAAAACTAAATACTAATTGAAATAATTTTACCTACATACTAACATTATACACAGAAACATACAATTATAATTTTCTATTATTATTTCATATTAAATCATTTAAAAAAGGTCATCAAATATATCATTAAAGTATTCTGTTATATTGTAATAACTCCTATCAAATAAGAAAGTTTTTAATTGTCTTTCGAAAGCCTTGGAATCCTGAGTACATTTTATGCTGTTCGGGAGATGGTTATATATTTTTATTAACATTGAGTGGGGACCTTAGCTCGTTGAGTTATTTATTTATTAGTTAGTATTTGTTATTATTACAGCACCCGTCACTCTGAGGCTTACAGTTGACAAGTCCCATAGGCCTGTAGTCTCATTAACACTATTCGAACCCTGAACGCAGTAATGCTCACATTATTGCTTGGCGGAAGAAATAGTTATGGTGACAATAATTACCCGGACGAACTCTTTCACAGTGAACTCTATTGCTTCTGAAATAAATGTTAATATGGCAAAGGGGAAATGCAACCGATGTTTGCAAAACGCTATTACCGTTTTTCACGCGATTGAATAAACAGTGAAGGAACACATCGAAATCAAACTTCCTGTCCATGTTTTTGAAATAAAACTACATTACGGTAGCACATCGAGGTACAAAATGACGGATCTTGTTCCATTACATTGGAGGTGATATTCAAATAAATGTGTATTAGGTTGCATTTTGACGTTATAGCAGCTTCGTACCCATAAATGTTTAAATACATTCGTAAATTTAATAACCTAACCTCCGGTTAAAAAAACCGACCTCAAAAGTCATTCATCCCCTAGTTTGCCACCTTTGGAGGTGGAATATTTTCTGAGGTACCTTCATTCCAACAAAATCAAAAAGAAGTTATCGCGTAACATACATACAAAAAAAAACATGCAGACGAATTATTGAGGACCTCCTTGTTTTTTTAAGTTGGTTAAAAAAGAAATGGACGGGGTGAACAAGAAGGTGACATGTGATAAAAAAGAATTAAAGAAGACATACTTCGCCAATCACAAAATAAACGGGGTTGATAATGCAAGAAAGAACAAAAACATTCTGCATAATCAAGTTGGTAGCAATAGAGCTCCTTGTGAAAGAGCTCGTCCAGGGAAGTACTGCCACCTTAACTATTTCTGCCGCCAAGCACTAATGTCAGCATTACTGTGCCGGTTTTGAAGAATAAGGGTGCTGGTGAAATTACAGACACATGGGACTTGTCAACTTATGTCTCAGGGTGACGGGCGCAATGGCAGTGTCACACAGATCTTTGCGATCTAAAGCTCTGAGTGGCACTGCAACTGTTAAGGACAGGCGTGTAGCTTACCATTAGGCGTCCAGGTTAAATTTCTTTTTTTATGGTATCAAAGGACAGAACAATTACTGTCAAATAAGTAATATTCGACAATATACAAAGACAATATCAAGTACGAGTCCTGTACTCCACCTACGGTGGGGTCGGGCTCGGCCTGCGACGCGTGGTCGGGTTCAGTTTACGGGGTGTGCTTATGCTCTTCGGTGGCACAGCAGTTAGTACTATGGGCGCTTAATGAGGAGGTCGATTCCCGATTTGGGCCAATTTAAGAAACGAACATTTTTAAGTTGGTTTTGATCTGAGTATTGTGGATTATCGTTGTTTTGGTATTCATAGTACAGGAAATTCGGCAGTAGTTTGGCATTTTTTCCCCCTAAATACTTATCTTTGGCATAGCTTTCAAGAAAATAGAATCTAACAGATATGGTTGAGATACAACAACGCTATAATAAGTATCTCATTTCCAGTACATCGGGAAGTAAGCCTTACATTTTTACAATTGTGAGATCTTGTACTCGTAATCTATTACGCCTCCGTATATAATTACCTCCATACGAATGCGTGCGGAAGCTTCGGACTTCGCCTTCGCCCTCCGCGGACCTCGGCCTGCGGCCTCAGCACTTAGGACTTTGTTTTTAAAAAAATGAAATAACTCTTTAATGGCGGCCATATTTAAAAATTACAAAAATATTATGACCACTAATTATTATCAAACAATCTTAGAAATCTTTTCGTGCTAATTTTCAGTCCGAGCAAAGAAGTTACATAAATAAATTACGGCTACATCGAAAAACAGCGGAAACAAAATTTGTACCCCAAATTATGATGCCATGTCATTTTCAGTCGAATTAGAAGAAATTTGTATCTATCGCCAAAAAGTTTGTATGGTAGCCATATTGAAAAATGGTGAAAAATAAATTTTAACCGCTAATTATTATTAAACACTAATAAAGACCCCATAAGTATGCCAATTTTCAAAGGGATCTGAGCAATTTTTTTTATGCTGCCAACGAACGCTTCTATGACGGCCATATTTGAAAATAGCGAAAAACAAATTTTGAGCACAAATTATTATCCGGCATTTCTAGTGGCCTATACATGTCAATTTTCAGTCGAATCAGAGCAAATCTCTTTCAGCAGCTATTTGTAACGAAAAAAACACTTGTATGGCAGCCATATTAAAAAATGGCGAAAAGAAATTTTTGACCCCAAATTATGATTAAGGACTCCTAAAGACCCTCGCATGCCAATTTTCAGCCGTTACGTTTCAGCACGTTTTTCTTCGGCCGCCATTTTGAAATCGCATCTTAATTTTTTTTAACCCAGGCAGTTGACCAGTGTTACACTCTATGACATTCTTTCGAGCATCTCCTACCTATCTCTAATAGTTTCCACGATAGGAGGCTTTGAAATTTGTATGGCGGCCATCTTGTTTATTAGAATTTCGAACATTTTTTACATCCCGCGGAAATTGACCAGGGTGTATCTCATAAAAATGCACAAAAATCCCCCCCATGTATTATAGTTTTTGCAGGCCGTTGATCACTCGTTCACATTTTCCACATTCAGGTCTTCTCATATTTTATTCTTTGCCTTGGAGCCTATCCACGTACAACGGTATAAATATCTTTTTTCCACCATATCGGGAAGTATGCGTTCTATTTTTCTAAGGGAGTCTAAACTTGTAGCTTTATGTATATAATAAAGCTTCATTCGCATCGCAGTGTATTACTTATTTGTCAGTAATTGTTTCGGGCTACTGTCGGACAGAGAACAAGCGTACTGTCACTGCGTAGGTACGTCACCCTAAGGCATAAAGTTGCCAAGCCCCTATAATTTCAACAGCACCCTTACGTCCCTAGATCTACGGTGTTTTGGTATGCGTTTGGACGGTTTGGACTGTGCGTCTTTTTTAAAAGCTACAATCAGTTCTGAGAGGTTTCGGTTGAACTTCTTAGTTTTTTTACTTGTACTAGTATGCCAACTTTCCAGATAGTTATTGGTTCTGTGTCGCTCTCCAAAAACCGACCATTGTTTCATATTCACTGAAGTCAACCAATTTCTTTTAAAATATCGAAGAAATGGTTGTAAATGTTGGTGATTGTCGAAATCAGTAAGACAAACTAAACTAACACTATGCTAGGCAAAAACTTACCAATATGAGATGATCCACTATACAATGCAACAAAGCCTGTCCTGGACAAGTATTTGTGCATATTCTATATCTTTTTCCATAACACCCATCAAGGACTGACTCTACAACGTCTTGCCAAGCCCCTTGGGGTAGTAAAGACTTCAAAACTTCAGTTGTTTGCTTTCGAGGAGGCAACGCGTCTGGTAGATGGAGTAGGTTGTTTATACAGTTCCATTGGTGGCACTGAAAAATGATTTATTTTAATATTTTTGTCATTAGAATTTGGAGAATAACGAAATAATTTATTAGAGAAATTCACAATAGTCGACACTGTCATCTACAATGGAATATCGTTAAACAAAGCTCCGTTTTCATAAGAAATATTCCTTTATGTATATATAACAACATTTTTTAACAATTTTAATTTTATTTATTGAAATTTATTTGTGAAAACTGCACTAGTTTTGTTGTGATTATGAATTAAAATACAAAGATCGAAAAAACACACAGATAAACTTCGTCGACACGGTGGTACTAGAACCCACGGCTATGCTGCACCTTAGCATTGCTCTAATCTACTGAGCTACAGGTGAAGTTATCGAGTTGTCGAAATTCTCCTATGTGTAATATTCTTTATTGTAATTTTTATTACAAATAAGCTATAAAAAGTAACTTTTTAAACAAAATATATTATTTCACTGAAATTACAATTGACGAAACGTTTAAATAAAATTTTGTTCAATTTAAGATATTTGTTTCTTGGGACTTTCAAACAGGTACATTTATATTTTTTATTATTATTTTATTGTAAATTTGTATACTCCTAGATCTTCCATTGTGCATGAAATATAATTGATTGTTATTGATATTACTAAATGGTATAAGATACTTAGGTACACTTAAATTATCTTGTAGCCCTCCGTATTTTATACTATGTATTTTATTATGTGTTTTTTATTAACAAATTCTGTTGCTTACCAATTTAACATCTTTTAAGTAAGAATATCCAAATTTATTGTCTGCAAAAACCTAAAAATAATAATTACATTATTACCAAACTTTAACAAATAAAAAACGATTATTAGAAACTCAAGTTCAGTAATACATCGCACTGTTAATACAATAGTATATTAACTCAAAAAAAGGACTTTCTCAGAATCGACGAAAAACGAACTACTCACTTCCTGCAAAAAAAAACATTAAAATTTATATGTTATGGTTTATTATAGACCCTTAAACAATTTCTCAAATATATTTAAAAATAAAATGGAAAAAATAATTTCATGTTTGTGAATAAGGATTATTTTGGCCGGAAATAGCTCACATAAAGTGTGTCTTATTTTGAGTGAAGATATACCTTTTGATTGTTTCTTACAATATTCTACCGACGGTTTTTTTGACGTGTAAAGAATCAAATTTTACGTTCAGTGATGACATAATATTAAATTTCACATATATCGAGTTACAACACTATTGTAATAGCAGTGCGATATATTAAATGAACAGCTTTATTACACACTACGTATTAGAACACATACATTTTTCATTTAATATTACGAAATGTTATTGAAATTGCTAGAATATATTTTTCTAGCATAACTGTTTATCGCTTAAACTCATAAAATATGCAAATTCTCAATGAGCACTTACCAAGTGAAAGAAAAAATAAAACCACAATATCTTCATGTTGCTCTATCAAAGTTTCGCGTAGGTATGACGGAACCATGCCTCAGCGCAGGTCATGTTGATAACATTTCCACTTTAGTCTCCGATAATAGAAATAACAACAAATCATTAAATATACGAAAGATTTCTTGATCTTTAGTGAATAAGTTCATGACGAATCTATATTTAAATGTACATAATCTCATTTAAAAAAAAAAACAATGTTATTATTCTTCTTCTACAACCTTAGTGGACGTCATTCTCTTCGGTTTTGGGCTATTTGCATCCAGGTTTTTCTGGTGAATGGCGGCCGACGCCTCTGGTACCGGTCCTCGGTCTCCACTCCAGCTCTCTTCTGCTCCACCGATCATAGGTTCTGCGACTGTTGCTACCCGACCCTCGTAATATTATGATTATTAACTATTAATATATATTGATATTATAATATATTTCTACATAGACAATAAGTAGAGAATTGCGGTAACAAAAATACCGTAGATTAACGAAATTGAAATTTTCTCTACTTGAAATTTATACTTTTAACTGCCTCGTTGGCCGAACCACATATATACCGGGTTCGATTCCCAGGCCGTGAGAATTTTTTATAATATCTGACGGGACGAACAAGTCGTGTGGCTGGTGGTAAGTTACACGCCTGTCAATTGCAGTGCGACTCAGAACTTTAAATCGCAAAAATCTGAGGGGCACTGACACTGCGCCTGTCGCCCTGAGACAGGTTGATAAGTGTCTGTAATTTCACCAGCACCCTTACCGTTCCAAACCGGGACGCGTAATGCTCACATTACTGCTTGGCGGCGTTGATGGCTGAAATAGGTTAAGGTGGCAGTACTTCCCTGGACAAACTCTTTTACAAGGAACTCTACAGCTACTATAAGTGAGTTGGGAGAGCGGTCAGTCCCTCAGCTTTATTTTGATTGCGTCTCCCGATTGGAAACTGCGTCTCTTCCGAGTCGAGGTGCGTAATTGCGATTCACAACTGACCGGTCGGACACTTATGACATTTCAAATCGGAACATAATTGATTTAACTCACAAATTAGAAAGATATTGTGGGAATCAGGATCATCTTCTCGCTCGGATACCCATGTGATTTCGAGACTCGGGTGGGCTACCCGATCGTATCGATTCCGATATGAATTAAAATCAGCCTGTCGGTCTGGCAAACAGTCGCTAGTCGCGAACTGAACGGAATTTTTGTGTTTGTTGTATATTTGTATTATAAATAAATGTACCGTCCAAACCTTGTCTTTATCATTACGGATCTGAAGTCTTCACAGTACCTAGTGGCTGTCGCTCGAGATCTAGTAGCAGAAGAGCTCCTTGTGAAAGAGTTAGTCCAGGGAAGTAGGTAGTGCCACCTTATCTATTTCTGCCGTCAAGCTATGATGTGAGCATGAGACGTCACTAACGAAGCCATATTTCACATAAAAACTAACTCTCGTACATTCGACCTTAAATACTAATTCGAAAGAGAAGTTATCTTTGCTGACTTTAACCCCATTACTTATCAAAACTTGGCACAGAGAATTGTGTTTCATAGACTCACTCAGGTTGCATTCCAGAGAATATAAAAAAAGCACTGCACTAATGAGTTCAGTATAACATGTTACGGCGCGGCGCTTTGAAATCGCGTGGCGTCAGCGCCATATAAGGTTCTTATGACCTAGATCTAAACTCCGTAAGCATATTTGCAGTGCTTCAACGGACAGCCCTAATATTATTACGAAGTATATAGTGCAATGTTCTTCGGCATAGTTAGAATCAACATTGCGGCTCGTAAGTACGTCAAAATTATTTACCAGCGACATCTACCCAATTTGGAGAACAACCATGTTTCTACTACTCAAACTTACGTCATATTATTTTAACTGTCAAAGTGGACAGAAACATCTTGTTTTTACACTAGGAAAAGCCGTAATAACCGCGAACGTATACCTACTATGCGTCTGAATAAAATCTGCTATTATTTATGGGACTGACTTCATTATTGCATTACGAGCTGCTTACAGTTATTTTGATTTAATCGGTCCGCCTTTCAAAAGTTATAAGGGCGTTTTACTGTCCACTCTGGAATAAACTTATTCCGACGGCACCATTTTTGAATCTCGAGAACCACAGCTTCTAGCTTAGATCTGATTGCGCGATTTTAGATTATGCGCTCCTTTGTTCAGAAGATATTGGTTTTTCGAAAGAAGTTCCGAAACTTTATCACTGGGTATACGTATCTACAACAATTGTAACAATTAAAAAAGCACAATAAATCAAAACATAATTTATTGGACAATGAAATGCCATAAATTAAATCTTTTACATACATCAGCTACTTACAAAAAACAAGCGACAAGAAACACATTTTAGCAATTGAGAATAAATTATCAATAATCAGCAACATTAGACAATTTGTCACAAACAATAACGGCAAATTAAATTTTATAGTCCGTCTTTTTTGAAGATGGAGTAAAATAACGTTTGCAGGGTTGCGTTTTCATAAAATTTTAAATAGTCGTGTAGCTGTTGTCGATAGTTTTATCGATAAATTGCAACAGAAAATAAAATTTTGCCAAAAAGGTCTTGATTGCGAATGTTACGACGTTCTAATTATTACTAATTTTGTTATTGTCTTCTTTATTCTTATTTTGCCAGTTGGTCTGCTAGTGTCGAAATCAATTTTTATTAATATACTTCTTTAATTTGCTTACGAATATTAAATAAAAATAAAAAAATTTTAATAGATATAGTTCTAAATGTAGTGTATGTATGTATGAATTTACAAAAATCGATAGTTCAAATTAACCTGTGCCCAGTAGGAAAAAAAATGAGCCAATGATGATTCAAATGAAACAATTTGGGCTATTTATTGCATAAACGTAACCAACATTCAATCGATAGTCGATAGGATATTTATCGACTGAAATCACTAGCTGCTTGCAAGCGGGCAACACTTGCGCAATAAACTGTCATTTTACCCCATATTAAAAAAAGACAGACTGTAGGTTTTATGTCAAATCTGTAGGTAATATCGCGTAAGAGGAAAGATAGCCCAGTACCGTTAAGATTGTTTTTCCTGCCTTCCTAAATGTTGCAGATTAATCATTGATCAACGAATCATCTATCAAACAGAAAGTTTATCGTGTGTCGCTTACTAATTTTACAGCTTAGGTGAGCGGTAATTGTGCTGTACCGGCTACTCGAAAAAGCGTGTAAGGCTAAAATTTGTTAAGAATTAGTCATAGAGCTATTGACTTGCTGAAAGCAAAAAACAATAGCAACCGTAGCAGCTTTGGACAAAATGTTACATACAGTGTTTTTTCTACTAATGACTAATTTCTTTAAAAAAAATCCAAAATCACGAAACTAATCAACCAAGTAGTCGGTGGCAAACTTATTGAAGAATAAACTAAACACCATTGCAAATATAGGGTCATTGTTAGTGTTCTCTACCTAATTTCGATAATTTAAATATATCAAAAAATTGTTAAATATAGTCGCACTGCTGGCCACAGATGTCCTCTCATAATGAAAGGGCTTTGGCTGAAGTTTCCATGCCCAATACAGATTGGGAACTTCACACATATCATGAAATTGCTTTGCAGATATGTACAGATTCCTAAAGAAGTTTTCCTCCACCGAAAAGCTAGTGGTTGATTTGAAATTGAATTTTGCGCATAAATTCCGAAAAACTCACACTACCACTGCTTTCCAATTTATTTAAATATATTATCGTGTAATTATTAAATAATATTTCACGATAAAACTCGAATAGAAATTAGGTAGTGAACACCCGCGAATGACCGCAAGTCATTTATTTATAATTTAACTACAAAACTTATTAGTACATTGTTTCTTGCAAGTTCATATGCTCATTGACTGTTGAATTATACAAAGATAAATGACAACCCTCTAATTATTTTGATTAATGTAGTTTGTGGAGCTACACTTCCCCATCACTGGCTGGTTAACTGTGGAAAACAAAAGACAGACCAGAAGCGGACAGAATAAAAAATCTGTTTTTCCGGCGTTGTTTTGCCATTTTAACCAGTCTCTTATTTTCAATGGTTGGAATAGAGCGTTCCATATATAGTATATAAATGTCTATATGTATACAAGGAGTGGTTAAAACGACCAAATGTTAGTTTACAATTTTTTCGAATTTCGGATATCCGGAAATAGTTTAACTACATCGTGGAACAAAACTATTCACATTCAAAGCTGAAGTTGAATTTAAAAGTAGTTCTAGTGGCGCCATGTAAACGAATGCAGTAGATAACTAACCTTTCACCAAAGAAAACATTTTTTTAATAAGCTACACAAGCAATAGCTTTTTTAAACTATTGCGGATATTGTAGATAGTTTTATATTCATGGAATGCAAACCACAGCCCCGCCCCAACCTCATCGCAGATACGACCTCTGAACCAGTTACCAAATATAGGCTCCAGAGACCATGTGACCAGACCATGAGACCAGAGCGCATATACGCGCAAACGAAAATACACCACGTGGCGTCGGATTGAAAAATAATTTGGCAAAGCAGTGCATTACTTCCGGAAATCAGCAAAAAGTAATTAATTACTTTTTTCGAATCTCCCGGCGCATGTATTCCCTCCCCTCTATAACATCGGGTCCTTCAAACGTAGTGTGAAGAAACATTTGGCCAGACCGGCAAAATGATAGTGACGGAGTGAAGATATTTGTGTTTTCCATCCGTTACTCTCATCTCTGGACTGTATTCGCACTTTCCATCAGGTGCAGTGCAGTCATTTTGCCGAGTCACAATTAAAAATAAAAAAAATTAAAAAAAAATTAATATTTAGTCGTTGTGGTTACCTATCAGAAACCCGAAATGGTATTTTTCAGAAATGACGTTTGCTCGAATTTTCATAACCTCGAAAGTAATTTTGAGAGGAAAATGTTTTTTCTTTTGAACCTAACCGTGTCTTTGCGATAAACATCCAACATATCCTAAAATAACAACTGTTCCGTTATAATTCAGTTTTCGGGGTAATAAAAATTCGAACAAACGATATTTCGGAAAAAATTAGTTCGAGTTTGTGATAGGTTACCGGTGATTGTAATAACTCTATGCCACTCCTTGTATTTATATATAGACATTCATCTACTCGTTACGAACACACTATTCCGACCATTCCTTATTATCTATCAAACTTTTAATACATAATTAGGCTCAATTTATATTGCGGCGGAAAGGACTGGAAGTGAATTTGTGTAACGATATTGTATATAGGGTAACGAACTATATGGTCAATTGTGTAGCGTACAAACCAGGCCTTGTAGTCTCGTTATCCGTCCGAAAAAATTACTGTCAAATAAGGAATACTCGAGTAAATTAAAAGATGCATGACGCGAATGAAGCTTCGTACTTGACATTCTTTTAATTTGGTCGGGTATTACTTATTTGACAGTAATTGCTCCGTCATTTGTAGCCATAAAAAAGGTATTTCCGACGAGAACGACTTGGTGGTAGCAAGTGTCTTCGGTTTAAAAATAGTTTTTCGGGTTTATTTCGTGCTGTAATCACTATTGTGTTTTTATATACACTGTGTATTTGTTCGTGAACGTTTTTGTGTATGATCTCCACAACTACATTCCGTCGAAGAGATTCATCTAAAAATAAATACCTTGCTGCCACCGAAACGTTGGCGTTATTGATCAATATTAACTGACAACATTAATCGAAACTGACACTGGCCCAATCCTAGTGGCCGCCATTAAGGAAACAGAATAGAATAGAAACCGTAAAAAAAGAAATTTAACCCGGATGGATTTATAAACGGCCTAACTTTTTTTTATAATATCAATAGAATATAATCCGTTTCGGGCAGAGAACGAGAGAACTCCCAGATACGAGCCAAAAATCACGTTGCACGTCTTCCGCGGAATTCTTGCGTATGCTCGAAAACGCTCGCGCATTCGCGAGAATTCCGCAGATGTCGACGGCGACGGCTAGCGAATTCGCAGGAAGCGGCGCCAAGGCAGGTGCACTATGACGTCAAACGTCGACGAAATACTACAGCCTCAAGACGCGTCTTCTCGCTCAGCAAGGCGAAAATGATGCTTCCATTCCATTCCATTCCGCCGCAACGTAAATTGAGCTTTAGACGAAAAAGTTTCAAAGGACAACACTGTTAAAAGTTAAACAAATAATTCGTACAAAGTGTGGTAAACGGCAACTCTGAAGCAGAATGACAGAATGTTCATGCCATGGATTAGGTTGTTTTGTCTTACCCGGTCAACCTGCAGATCAGTAAAAGAAATATCTTAAAATTACAGAACAAAGTAGACTGAAATGTAACACATAGGCTTTAGGTGTAAAATCGAATGCCATGTGAAATATTACATTATAATAATATTACTGTAATAATACTGTGACCACACTCACAGATCATTGAAAGTGTATTATAGTAAAGTATATTATTTGGTACTCTTATGTTAACGGCGTAAAGTTTGCAATCGTACAAATATCATAATGAATAAATTATTTTTTGTAACAGCCTATAAATTGATATAAAATGCAATGCTATACAAGTACATATGCAGTAAACAAAAATTCATTACATAATTGCCACAGGCTATCGTAACGCAGTTAATTTTCTATGACAGATTTTAGTTCTTATAAAATGATACATTTTAATATTCGAGTCAGGTTTAAATAACGCAAATTATTAGGATTTTACATTTTGTACATTCAAATTACAATTTATTAGGTATTCATCTCCAACCAACGACGTGATTTATTGTATCTTACTGAAACGAATTTTTGTAATAAAATTGAACATAACATAATGAACTACATCGTTTCTTTTACTCACACATTCATAGCCCCACACTAGGGAAACCCTGTACCGCGGGTGCCATGGACACATACATAGACAACCACAAATTGTAGGCCATACAAATATTTCTCCCGGCTCGAGAATCGAACCCGGGACTTCTGCGTGGCAGTCCAGCATGGTAACCGCTCGGCGTCGTGTATATAACCAGAAATAGAGACGAAATATCATCAGGCAAATGGGCCTTATATTACTTTTAAATATCAACTCCCGTTTGCGCTGAAATCACAAATCAGAAAAGTGAAATAGCATAGAGCCAACGACTGACCTGCGTGTACGTCTCCGTATATTCCAAAAATATTCTGTATCTATTGTAATAAAGATATTATCTCTAACTACGGGGGACTGTTCCATTCGGTGGTGTGGGAAAAATAGCAAAACATCTAATTACAAAACAAACGTAATCGCATTTCATCGGTAATGAAAGTAATTTTTCAATTTTCTTCCATTATAGCAAAGCTCAAGTTAAACTGGTCGATTTGAAGTAAAACAATTGACACCCCTTAATTGTTTCGAATTCGGGCTGGCCAATCGGCGCGCAGTTGTTACTGTAATGATTTGGTAGAATAGTTTTCAAACAAATTAAATGCCGTTTCGTCGCTTATTTCTGGTTATATACTTGATGCGTACAAACTAGATATGATACGGTAGTTGCGGGAATTCCTAAGACTGCGCAAAAATTTTCTTTCAAACATACGAGTTTAGATCATAATTAATTACTAAAGCCCGACGTTGGTTAGAAACTTCATATTTGTCATGCATGTTGTGACATTATAATTGTACTTTGGAATTACATTTAAAACACTAATAAATATTGAAAAAAAAAATCACAGCTGTGTTACAATTGTATATAAAGATATCTGCAAACCATGCTAAGGCCGGAGACTTGTTCTTCAATAGAAACACTTATCGTCGTTAAATTGAATCTGAAACAAAACAAAAAAAAACAATTAGAACTATATTTTACACCAAGCACAAAAAGGCCATCTATTTTCATTAGAGCCTTTACACACCAAAGTTTTTTTAAATAATAATTCAAAGTTCATGGAGTGATAATCAAATATTTAATGTTAACAGGAAGCATCGAGTACATAACAAGAAATAGAGACGAAATAAGTGCCATCCATCACTGGCAACTCATCAGACAAATGGGCCTTTTATCACTTTTAAATATCAACTCTCGTTTGCATTGAAATCACAAATTAGAAAGCTGAAATAGTACAGCGGCAACAACTGACCTGCGTGTAAGTCTCAAATATTATGTATTTATTGTAATACAGATAATATCTCTAACTATGGGGGGCTATTCCATGCGGTGGTGTGGGAAAAATAGCAAAACATCTAATTACAAAACAAACTGAATCACATTTCATCGGTAATTAAATATTAAATATGTAATTTTTCAATTTAGATCCATTATAGCAAAGCTCAAGCTAAACTGGTCGTTTTGAAGTGAAACAATTGATTTGAATTGTTTCGAATTCGGGCCAATCGGAGCGCAGTTGTCATCGGAATGATATGGCAGAATAGTTTTCAAACAAATTAAATGACATTTCGTCTCCATTTCTGGTTATATACTCGATGACAGGAAGAGACATACTACAGAGTGAATGACATAAATACATGATAGTGACATGTTTAGCTCTCGCAGATTGTCTTGATCTATTTAAAATAAATATAGTCGTACTCCTCGTCGTATAGTAGTACTCCTAGTTCCTCACACATTTTTCTCAGGGGAATCTGCCCTACGTATAAATAGTAATGTTCAAAGTGAGTCACTGAAGGAGAAGCGGAGAAAAACTGTCATGATAGATCAAATGTTTTAGGTATTTACTACTAAATAATGGAGTAACAAAAAATATACAATACACCTAAGGATATTGACTAAAAAATAGGCTAATTTGTTACACGATAGAATATAAGTCTCAAACGAAATATTTGAGACTAGCTAATTTTCCACATAATTTTTATTTGATATTTCTCTTTAAGTACTCCACCCCCACATCTTCTAAAATGTAGACTGGCATTCAAATACCCCCGCCATGAATCAATTTGACAATTTGAAGTGTTTTGATTATAATTTATTTAAATCTATGAAATAAAATAATTTCCATTTAACTTGAATGTAAAAAGTATTGCTACAACAGAAAACGTCGTGGGTTGACCACAAAAAAAACCACAATAACATATATGCTAAGCTTGATAAAAATATATGCACATACATATATGAAAATAATGTCGTTTTAAATTTAAAAAAAGAAGTTTCCTGATAAAGCATTCAATACATAACAAATGTTTTATAAATACAGGAAACATTTCAGTATTTCGATGTATTTTGTTATTTTATGACTACAGCTGGATGGCTATCTATAAAATATTCAACAACTCGTACCCTTGGTTTATCAAACCCACATGTGATAATTTATGTCAAGTGTTTTTATCACATGAAACTTATAAAAATAATACTAATTTCATGAAATAAATTTTGTATAAGTGATATATTAACTTCCAAAGGCCAAGTGTACATCATAATGCAGATAACAATCAATCATTCAGACGCAGAAAACATTATTCCTCTGACCACGTAAATATGTCCTGTGTATATTATAACTAAAATATCGTATTCGAATTTAGCGCTATACTTACAGGGTTATTTTTGACAACAACTTTTGTTACATGACTTTTAATAACACATTACATTTTTATACAAAAGTAAATAAATTTAAGTAGATCACTCTAATAACTCCATGCAGGACGGGGGTGGGATCGTCGCAGAGGACGCTTGCACGTTTGTACTTATTCTACCAAATATATATCTAAAAAGAGTCAGAAAATACAACAAAAACTTAAAATTTATTTTTATTAAGGTTTGTAAGAAGTAATGGAACAGAAATTGTTGTTTTTTTTTATGAAATGTAAGTGCGCCATTGACCTCCATCTCTCGCCTGATGGAAAGTGATGAGGTCGATGAGGTCAACAGTCGAGCATGCACACATAAATAATGCCTATTCACTCTCGCCTTGAAAAGGTCCAAGTTATAACGTTCAGGGAACAAGTCTACAGGCAGGGAATTCCACTAAACAGCCATTCGCCATATAAATGTGGAAGTGTTTATGATGTTGTATATTCTGTATCACTATAAAGGTATCTAGACACTTAAACAATCCCAATTGGATTTATATATTTGAGGACATTATAAAACCTTTGGTATGAAGCATGTATTGTATAAACATTTGGAAACGGGAATAAATACGTTTACATACGAATAGGTATTTTTCACACCTACCTAGTTTCCCGACGTTTGAAACGACGACGGTGTGAAAAATACCTATTCGTATGTATACGCGTTTATTCCCGTTTCCAAATGTTAGTACAATTCAACGCGAAAGTTTAAAAGTATATGTATTACAGATTTAGTACATTATAAGGTACATTAGCTGTATATTGCTTTTCCCATTGTAGTTTGTTGAGTCTTAAGGAGGTTAAATAGTGCTACGTGATAGGAATCCGAGTCTCAGCTTAAAATTGCGCATTGTACGCTGTTACATCGTCTCAATACGGCATAGAAACTTGGACCCTCACACAAGGAAGCTGGAGGTTTTTGAGATATAGGTTTCACATCTCACGGCGTGACCGCGTTACAAATGTAAAAGTACTCAATAAGATTAAGGAAACGATGGATGGATTGTTATGAATATCACTAAGCGCAGGAAGACATCGAACTTCGTCCACGTCCCTAAGGATTCTTGCTTTTTCTCTGTGGAATCTGCTTTATGAATGAGCAGCAGAGTTTAATCAATATGATTATTTCAAGTGTAATTTGCTTACCAATGAAGTAAAGATTATTTATTTGAATTTGACTTTAATATCTTGCCCTGTATAGTTTGTATCAAACACATTCTACCAACGTGACATGATCAATTAAGAAATGTTAACTTTTAGAAGCTGAGTGAGATCAAGCGTATTTTGTTTTATTTCTAATACGGAATTCAAGTTACCTAATTCTTCTACAAATAGCGTGCAGTAGCAATCACAGGAACGCACCGAAGCCAAAGGCGCGTTTAATACTGTCGAAGTAGTATCTCTTCCAGTTCACGCGGGTCTGCTCCACCTCTGTAGCTGGCACCAACACTTGCTTCAGTGTCACTAAGGTATGGTCCTCCTGGAAGACAACAAAACCAAGCATATTTAAAAACTATATTTATTCTCAGTTCCTGAGACCCGTGAAATGTAACATCCCCATACAGGATGCAGGAGTTTACAAGCTTGACTGTGAGTGCGGTCTCTCTTATATTAGACAAACAAAGCGAAGTATTTGTACCCGCGTCAAAGAACATATAGCTGATGTCAAACACCGTCGCGTAAACAAGTCTGCAGTCTGCGAGCATGTCATGGATAAACCTACATATTCAATGAAGTTTGACAAACCCCAGGTCCTTGCAAAAGAAGTCCGTTATCTACCCAGGATGCTGCGAGAGGCCATTGAAATTAAAAAACATCCTAATTTCAACAGGGAAGATGGTTTCTCCGTACCACCAGTTTGGGATCCAGTATTTCCTCTAATGAAAAATCCCAAACAGACATAAGACTGCAGTACTAATTAATATGTTTTAGTTTATTCTAATTTCTATTAATAATTAATAATAAATTAAACTTAATAAAAATTCATTCAATAAAATAATTTGTAAAACTTAATGTAGCGTAAATTGGAATGTTTTCTTTGTAAAATTAAAAATAAGGTATTTAATTAATAACTATTGTAACTATAGTGAAAAAATAGGGTGGTTTGCATTAATATTAGACATAACTGGTTGAAGACTGTACCACCTCAGTCAACCGTGACCATGGGACCTGTAAAGGGCCCGAAACGTCGGTTTGTTTGAAAAAACAAATATACGCGATTTAAATACGGAAAAATAGTTTCATTTCTTATGTGTAACAATCGCGAAAACCTAAGAACTCGATATATTTATTTTACTACAAAAGTTTGTGGAATTATAAAATGGGTTAAATGGAGGAGGTGGATATGTTCTTTAAATTTGCATGGGACCACTACTGAGATACCCCCATTCCAATAAAAGAAAAGAATCATCGAAATCAGTTCATAAATGTCGGAGTAATCAAGTAACATACACTCAATCAAAAAATTCAATCGGATTGCGAAACTTCCCTTTTAAGTCAGTTAAAAACTGAGTTCGCATGCTACAACGGCTGTGGTGTTTGCACAGTGACAGCTCCCACTGCCTCACTAATTACCAAAAAAAAAATGTACATGTCGTATTGTAAATGATGTTTCAGTGTGGCAGGATTCATGAACGTACATTAC